TATCGTTAGAGTCCATCTTGATTCCTACTGACCATTCCGTTAAGGAGGTACATTCACTTACTTTTTCTTTTTTTTCAAAGATTTATTTTATTTATTTATGCATGCAAGATTTGGGGTATAGGACAGAGGTGTGGGGGAGTGAGATAATTCACCACAGACAGAGTGGGCAGCAAAACAAGTAGATCTACTGAAATACACTGCTGAGGGGAGCAGCCCGCTAAACAGGAGAGGTCTGCTGTGCCATATGGGTCAGCTCCCTGGCTTGAGATCTAACTCATGCTGTGGTGGCTGCTAATAGCTTCAGAGTGCTCAGACTTAACACCTTGCACCACCAAGGAGGCCCTCACTTACTTTTTCTTCCAACTACTTATTAGTAATATATTCAAAGCAGGATTGTCTAGCCATAGCAGATGATGTCAGGTATAAGTACCCCAAAACCCAACACAATCCAGATTAAATAAGATGCTAACTTACGCCCTCCCATAAAAGAAGTCTTGAGTTAGAATAATCTTCTGGAATAATTGATTCGGTGTCATCAAGAACCCTCACCTGCCTATCCTGGCTTAGGCCTCAGATGGCTCTAGCAGTTCTAGGTATGACATCCTAACTTGACTATGTCCACAGAGAGTCAGAATGCCTCTTGTGGGTTTCTCTTAGGAGGAAGGAAATTCTTTTCCAGAAATCTCTAGCAAACTTCCTCTCATATCTCATGGCCTACAATTGGTCCATCTGCCTATGACAAGGGATGCAGAACTACCATGATAGACTTACAGATCACCTGTTAGAGAAAGGATGATGGTGTGGGGGGGGGCATCAATTCTCATTTCCCAAATGGTATCCTCTTTGTCTCTATATCAGGTTAGCTTTAATAATCAAGAAATTCAGCCAGGGAAATGAATAGGATTGTAATAGGAAAAAAATGATAGAGACAGGGAATTACCTACATTATTAAATGGGGGCATAAATGGAAGGGAGAAAGGAGCACTGGAGATAAACAGTTCAAACCAGGAAAGGGAAAAGTGAAGTACAAATTGAAATGCTGATCATGAAATCCTGTGAGATAGTCCTTGTCAGAATTCATTGAGAATCATGGGTGTGTATTTTGCTGCTGTTCAGACTATACAAGTTAAAAGCCAGACAACAGTTTTGGAAAAAAAAAGAAAAAGAAATTTGTTTCAGAGTATGAATATCTACATATGCATTTGTGTGTGTGTGGTGCCCTAACTCTGCAATTAGAGGACCTACCTATAAACACTTTTTTTTTTTAAATCTATACTCAGTGTAGCTGCTAAAAGGAACATCTTCTACCAGCCACCACTGGGTAATTTTTGTTCTCTTCCTCCTGCTTCTTAAATTACAACTTTACTGGTAACAATGACCTTGGTTCATAAAAAGTGCAAATGAGGCGTAGGATGTAAGAAGCTAGTGTCCACCCACGGAAGTATTGGTTTTGGAGACAGCCTTGTGTTTCAGTCAAAAAGGTAACTTAGTGTGAGTTATCTAATCTACCTAAACCCCATTTTCTCACCTATTAACATGGCCCTCAGGTATTAATTGCTAATATAGGACATTACATATAAAGAAGGTGGAACAGAGTCTTTTGGATAACTGGCATCAAATGTCATTTTTTATTATCATTCTACAAAGTCTCATAGGTGAGATGGGAGTGAAAGGAAGGGTGAGACGTGGTGGATAAATTTGAGAATAATGACATTGTAGTGGCAGTCTTTATTGGTATCTTTCAAGTACTGGGACAAATTCTTTTTAGATCATTTTAGCAATCCACCTCTATAGAGGAAAGCGATACTTCCAAATTTCAATACTAACCAAATGTATTAGATTTTATGTGGCAAAACCCAGATCTACTGACCTTGAGGCTAATGCTCTTTCTACTATCTTTACTGACAAAGTATTTTTAACAGTTTCTGCATGATTCATTGTTCTCTATTCAAAAAAGTAGACTTGGAATTCTTCACTAGCTGGGAAACATATAATACATAATATGTTATGTATCATGTTATTATCCAGCAAGACCTGTGCCCAAACTACTTGGAGAAGTTGAGCTTATATTTGTAGTAACAGAAAGTCCACAACCAACCTATTCCATTTTGTATTTATCCATCAAATGAAGGCATACTTTGCTTTTTTTTTTTTTTTTTTCCTTAGCCATCCAGTAGGGGATTTGTAATGCTTCCAAATATAGTCCCAACTGGCAGAGGTATCTGGAATTTCACCATTAGCATTTTTTTTTTTTAATCACTAAGGTATAACTTTAAGAAAGCCCTTGGCACAATGAATGCACTTGGAAGGGAACAAGGATATTCATATATTCATATGGAGAATTAACCACTGCTGATTTTTACCAGATTGACTAGTTGTCTGTTCTAAGGGTCCCTTTGGAGAGTACAAACAGATCCTGGAGGAGAGCTGTATTTGAATGCAAAGGATGAAATAATTTCTAAGCCTGGGGAGGAGGAGAGGGCTGAATAGTGTGTCACTTCTAGGACATGTAGACAGAAATGGGGTGCCAACAGACAAGGAACAGTGAAAAGGAACAGAGGTCAGTGAACTTACTCATATTTACTTATGAGTAAAAAGTTCCCCCAAATGACTTAAGATTTCTGTGATTTCCCCTGGTTTTAGTAGTCAGCAATGACTGAAAACAACTAAAAGGCCTTGTTATTTCAATCACCAAACACACTTAACATTAACATTTGAGTCTTTTGTAATTTCACCTAGCTTATTGTTGGTACTGGATGAATATGTGTTGAATGAGTAAATTCTTCTGTGATTCCCTTTTTGTTTGTTTGTTTGTTTGTTTTACTTTGGAAGTGACTCAATAATGAATGGTGGACCCAGCCACTCAGTAGTGGATGTAGCCTTACAAAAACAATAGCAAAATTTGTAACAATTTGTCCAATAGAACTCCTGCCTTGATGAAAACCACCCTTTAATCTGCTCTGAACAATAAGGTAGCAACTAGCTACATGTGGCTATTGAATACTTGAAATGCAGCTAGTGAGACTAAGGAATTGAGTTTTAATTTAAACAGCCAATTTTTGGCAGTGGTTACCTATTTTATTAGACTATGTATGTTCAGTCCACTTGTTAAAAGTTTTCTACCCCTTCTCACTTTGTTTTTTAAAAGCAAGTATTTCAATTCATATCGATTAATTTATATAAGTTTCTCTCATTTTTATTTTTAGTGGAATTAATTAGAGTTACCTATTGTGATTGTAAAGATTAGCATAGCAAACCAAGTTGACTTGCAGAGCAGCATGTGGGGGAAGAGGGATTATGTGTCTCAGTTACAGGAACTTGTAATATGTGGTCAATTTCTAATTTCAACCATTGACTTAAAAGAACGGAGCCAGTGTAGCTGAAAGAACAAAGTGCGAAAGTCTTACCTCTGCACTGGCAGGCTGGTCTGTCAAGCCAGTCTTTCTTTTGATTGCCTCCTTTCTCAGGACTCTGGCACCTTCCAATACCCTCTCCACCCAAATCAAAATATACCTTGAATTATTTGTGATAGCATCACTTTTAACTCTTTGTAACTTTATAGATGAGAAAACCGAGACACCGCAAAGAGGAAGGGCAAAAAACCTGATACTGACTGAACTACAGTGTGATAGGTAGACTTTTGCAGCTATAATCAGAAATAAATCTATTGGCTGCATGAATGAAGGTGATCACACTGGCAAGTACATGGCATTCAGTAAATGTTTTTGAATGCATAACTACTAGAATATATTTCTTACTGAAACAGATTTTATTCCTTTATCACACATGAGCAAACCGAAATTTAGACAAGTTATATGACTTCCTCAAGGCTAAACACACGGAAAACTCCAATACCTAATCTCTCTCTCTCTCTCTCTCAACTTTAACCCCTAGTCTTGTTTCCTGTCCTCGGGGTTTTGCTCTTTACCTTTCAAAGAAAACGACGAGTTAAACGGATCAGACTAACTTACACCAATGGCTGCAAATGTATTGGTAAAAACAAATCTCAGCGCCCCCCTTCCAGAAATTTTCTAATTTTAATGTCAACCTGTAGACATTGTCAACTCACAGAAATGGCTCTCTGGAAATTTCACGCTATTCAGGAGAGATGTTATCTAGGGACTAGCATTAAAAAAAAAATATCCCCAAGCAGACATTTCCCTGGAGTCTGGACGCTTACATAAAAGCAACACATTCATTTATAAATTAAATTCACCAGTGCTCGCGTTTCTTTTTTTCCCTTTCTTTCTTTTTTTTTTTTTCAGTGTCTCTTACCAGGAGGGGCAAGCGATCGATCTGTGTATTGGCCCCTATTACTACGTCTGCCTTGTAGGAAACAGAAATTCGCTCCTCCTCCATTTCTCCCCGCCCCCTCGGAACCGTACAAGCTTCAGAGTGCAGTCTAAAAACGTAGGTGCTTTGGCAGGATTTGAAAATTAAAATATGGCTCCGTGATTTTCAACACAAAGACCACAAAACAGCGCTGGAGCACAGGAACTATTTAAAACAGATCCCACACACAGAAGTTGGAGGGCCACAAAGTCCAAGTCGTCCAGGCCAGTCTGCGGACCCAGTTCATGCCTCCGCCCTGCAAACACCTTGCGGGTGGCACGTCGCGACGAGTGTCAGCTGCAGCAGAGCCCGAGCATCACCTGCAGTTCGGGGCGTGGGAAAAGCTGCTGGAGGGGGGCTCCAGAGAGAGAGAAAGGTGCGCGCATTGGGGCGCCGGGGCCGCCCAGGTGCAGAGCGCTCGGTGGAGCCGGGGTTGGGGTGCAGGGACAGCAGCGGGGCAGAGAGGGGCAGACGCTTCAGGGTAGGGACCCCGGAGGGCGCAGCGACCCGGGAGGCGGCCACAGCCCCGCAGCTCGCGGCTGCTACTGTCCGGAAAGCGGACCCACCCCGCGCCGGGGCGGCCGGGGCGGCCGGGCGGGGCTGGGGGCGAGGCGGGGCCCTGACGTCACTCCCTTCCCCCCACCACCGCGAGGGAGGGAGTAGGGGAAAGAGGCAGCGATCCGCCGCAGCTCCCCGCCGCTACTCCCAAAGTCGGCTGCTGGCTGCCCGGACATGTCCTGACAAACTTGGCTCCTCGTCGGCCCTCTCCACCCAGCCCTCGCGCGCTCCATCTCGCCTCCTTTCGGAGCTCAAGTTGCACCCAGGACGGGAGCTCCCCGGGATGCCACCCCCTGGGTCCGGGCTGCACGGACGCACCCCACTCCGGCTGGGGACATGCTGAAGACCGCAGGGAGGCAAAGTTGGTACTTCAGACGCGGTTTTGAATAAATAGCCAAGCCACTTGGGGATTACGCAGCTGCCCAGGACTTGAGAGCGAAGCACCGACGTGTCGGCTGGACCGGTGAGTTCGTTGTTGCGTGCGGACGGTTCGCTTGTAAGTTTAAGACGTAAATGAAATGTCCTGGGGGTCTTTGGCTCCGAGCTAGTGCAGGGAGCGCGAGCATCCTACAGGCGCGCGGCTCGGCGAGCTGCACACCCCACCGGGACGTGCACGACTCGGGAATGGAATGCCCGGGTACCTAGGTTTGGGGATTCACCAAAGGTGTATGGAGCGCGGCTCAAAAGAACTTGAGAAGCTGTGCTGGTTGTACGTTTTGAATGTAACTTATTATAGAAATGGAGCCCTGGGAGGGCGCAGCGCGGGCCGCGTGATCTGCAGGGGCGCAGCGCCCTCTAGTCCGGGCGCCCGGCGAGGCGCGCTCCCCGCCTGCTGCCGCGCGCGCGGCGAACTTGGACCTGCCCTGTGCTCCTGGGACCTGGTGTGAGCTCCGGCGCTGCCCCCCAGCCTTAACTGGACACTCACGTCGGTCCATTCTTTGCCTATTTTCCAAATACCAGCTGGAATGGGTTGGATGCAGAAGGGGTGCCGCAGGAAGGCGATTTTGCTTTCGGGAACCCTTCCCATGCCCCTGGTTTCCACGAGCGATTGGGACAGGGCTGGGGAGGGGAGGGTACTGGAAGGCTAGTCTAGCTGTGGAGCCTGAGCTACAGTTTTCGCTTGTGAAGGTCCTTCGATGGTAGCAAAAAAGCACCCCTGTTTCGTCCTCCTGGGATTGAGGCATCGGTGAAAACGTGGCGGAGCTGGAGTCTGAAATCTCCATCTCTGGCTCTCGACTGTTCCTGTGGCGAAAAAGTGCAACTTCTTCTTGGCAGTTAGGCTTCTCTTGGAGCCCGGAATACCGGGATTCCCAGACAGATGTTTCAGCCTGACTAAGCCTTATTTATTAACGAATCATAATTTTATTCGGGAATGATTTTGTACCGTTTAAGAAAATCCGTGGTATTTATGTTACCCGCTGGTGTGTCTTTACTTTTTACAGCTCTAACCCCTCCACCTCTTCCCCTAGTTGGCCCCATCGACACCCCCCTCCACACAAACACCCCCGCTCCCAGTTCCCCAACAAACTGCTGGGATTTCTTGTGTGGTTCTGTTTTGTTGAGAGTTAAAATTCGACCAGAGGCGCAAACTGCTCGAGCTTGGAGATCCCCTTTGGAGAGGTGCTCCATGCATGAAATTGACCTGTAAACTCCAGGAGCATTTTGCACAGTTATGGTCGTGGCCAAGTATTTGAATGATGGTGCTTGTGCTTGCTGGGTGTGTGAATTCGTGTGTGTTCTAAATCGTGCAAAGACACCATATACACAGAGACTTCATGCTCCACATCCGCACACTCACTCTGCAGGAGGCATGATTGAACCTTGCCAGCCATAACCTGCTGGACACCTTCATTTTCTCCACTCGCCTTCTTGGAGATGGTTTTAAGAGGATCACTGCATTAACTGCACCCAGGAAATCCTCTCTTCAACCCCAAACTCCCTCGTCCTCATGTACTGTGCAGTTCCCATTACAGCCCCCTCGACCAGCTCCAGGGAAACCAGACCTCTTTGTCCTCACAGCGTTAAAATATTCGCGCCCCACAAACTTTCCGAGGTCGTATCCGCTCTCTGCTGCGGGCTGTTCCCCAACGCTGGGAACATTCCGGGCTTCGGCTGCGTCTCGGCCGCGATGAGCCGCGCCTGGAGCGCTGCCCGCGCCGAGGATGGGCGCACAGCCCGGGAGCCGGGATTGCGCGCTCGGGCGGCCGGGGGAAGGGGTGCGAGTTCCAGCAGTGGGGCTCCCCCGTCCCCCAGGGGAACTTGGAGTTCCGCGTGGACTCGATTCAGTTTGTCTGGAGTGGCCGGGAGAAGCCACGAGGCGGCACGGCTGCCTTTTGTCCCGCAAACCGGGGCGACAGGGCCGGGAGGGGGGTCCGGGGGCTGCCCCGGGGGAGGCCGGCGTTGCGCTCCTAACCCGGCTTGGAGACGTTGCGTGGCCTAAAGCGCTTTGCACAAAGAGGTCGCAGCGCTTTCATTTTCCCCCAGATCTCGGTGTGGATTGGAGAAGGAAGTGGCTCCCGACCCGACTGCATTCCTTTTGAAGCCCTTTGAACGATTTTATGGCACTCAGCGATGGCAGAGCCAGAAATTCAAATGCAGATTTAGGAATTCCTGGAGGTTCCAGCCAATCTAAAGGGACGCGTGGGGCGCTTTATCTTTAGCTTCCGCCGACTTTATTTATTTTTTAGAGCTAAGCAAATGCCCCCGTCCCCCCCAGCCCCCCACTCCCCGCGCACCCCCAATGGGGAACTTTCCCTGTTCCCTGCGCAGACGCGGGGTTGCCGGCCAGAACCGACGTCCGCACGAAAGCCAGCCCCGAAACGGCTCCTGGAGCGTCGCAAGAGCGCTCTGGGCACGCGCGTGCTCCTCGCGCGGAGTTGGCCGCGGGAGCCGGGGATCCCCCCAGGCGCGGCGGGGCGGCCCATCCCGACCCGCAGGCGCAGCGCCCGCCGCCGGGGAAGCCGGCTCGGGTTTCCGCGGGGGAGAAACGAGGCCGGCGCCGGCGGGCGTGGGCGTGGCCCGGCGGAGGGATCCGGCCGGTGAGGCGCCGGGGCCGAGCGCGGCTGCTAGCGCGCGGGGCGCGCGCGCGGAGCCGGGCGCGTGGACGGCGGGGTCCGGCGCGGAGCTATGTGGACCTGCGCGCCCAGGGAGGCCCCCGGCAGACCCGGCTCCCGCCCGGGGGCGCGCTGAGGGCCGAGGTGCGCGCGCTCGAGAGCGCCGCCGTCGCCACTTCGGGCCAACTTAGCTGTAAGTTGGATGGGAGCGAAGTTGGGGCGGCGCGGCGGGGCCGGCTGCGCGCGGGGGCCGCTCCTTGCCGGCTCGGGGGGGCGCGCTCGCGGCTCCAGAGGGGCTCCCCGCCGGCCGGCCGGCCGCGACCGTGCGCCTGCGGGTGCGCTGGGACCCCGGGAGGAGGAGAGCGCACGCTGGAAGGTGGCGCCGCCGCTGCGCCTGCCCCCTTGGAAAGTTCGGGGCTGGCGCTGCTTTCCGGCGGCTCGGGAGGGTGCGGGGGCGCAAGGGGGGGGGTGGGGAGCAAGGGTGGGGAGCGCTCGCCTCGCGGTGTGCGTGGAATGGTAATGACCGAGCTGGGCGCAGCGGCGAGCACGGTGCCGGCTCGGCCGCGCGCGGGGTCTGGACCTGGAGCCATTGCTGGGAGTCGGGCGCCGGCCACCCGGCGGCCGCGGGGGGGCTTCCGCTGCGCCCCCCAGCGCGGACACCTCCCCGGCGCTGCTGTCCACCCTGCTCCCCGCGCGCGCTCGAGCCTGCGCCCGACCTCGCGGCCCGCGCCCCGGCCTGGGTGCTGCGCCCTCAGGACACACTCGCGGGGTAGGTGGGGTGGAAGGAGAGGCCGGTAGCGAAGAGGTGGGAGCTTTGAAATGGAGTCGTCGCCGAGTTTTCTGGGATGTTTTGTGCCCCGCAGCAGTGCTGCGCTGAGGGTGAAGGGCTAACAGTTTGGAGAGACCACATTGCGATGGGTACATTGCAGGGGCAAACCTTTGCAAAATATGCTGTGGATCAGTTCGTTTTTCTCTTCTTTGCAACAGAACTTGTAAGATCTTTTTTTGCGAGATGGCTTTTTCTTCTAGTGCTTTCTTCTGGGAAGCTAACTTTGTTGTCTTTGAGATTCTTTGGTCGCATTGATGTGAATTGCAGGGCTTTGAAAACAAGGACGCAATTGTATGCATTAGGAAAGTAAACTCATAAATATTTTTTATGCAGTTAAAGTTGCTTTTTTTTTTTAAATATTCTGAACTATGGTTTCATCAAGGGGCTTTTGTTAAGCAACTCCCTGGGTGCCTGGGAGAAGAGGTTTTTTTTTTTTTTTTTCTTTTTTTTTTTTAAACCGTGTACAATGACTTACAACTGGAACAGATATAAAAGGCAAATAATTTTCAGTTATCATTTACAAAAGCTGCTGTGTTCAGACATAGGTTTCCGCAGTTTAAGAAAATAACTGCACATGTTAAAACTAGGTGATGATGCTTTTTCATATTGCTCTTAGAGATTTGTTTGTTATCTAACACATCCACTTGTTACAGATACTCATGAAAATTTGTTTTTCCAGTTATATGGGCTCATTCTGATACTTGGGTTTTGCTTTGTGTTTTAGAAGGGCAGTCGTGGTTCCACAATTAGAATTATTATCTCTCTTTTGTAGTTAGACTTTAAAGCTTTGAGATGGATATAAAAATACTTAAAACATTACATAATCTTTAAAAAACAATTGCACTAACTCTTAAGTTAATGCCAAACATGACACTTAACAAGCTCATTGTGAGGTTTGAGCTGATTAAGTGTGCATTTGTGTCCCTATTTTTTGAAAATCGAACATCTCAAATGAGCCAATTCTTTGTCATTTTGAAATGAAGTGAGATTTTTAGAGGACTTCATAAAATCATTCAGGCCACCTGTATATTCATTTGTATTTTTTAATTAGTCACTAGAACTACTCCGGTGGGTTCTCAGCATGTTAATAGATCATTTAAGTCCACGTTATGGACAGGTGCCAAAAGAGGAATCTAAAAATGATGGCAAACTCATACTGCTTTCATTCTCCTGATCCCCTGCCTTTCTAGTTTATGTCTTCAGATTTAGCTCTTGAGCCACCTTGAAAGCAGTCATTTCTTTGAATGCTAGAGGTGAAAGGAATCTTAGAGATTGTTTTAGCTCTTATCAAATCCACCGCCACCTGTTTTCCATGCAGGTTTGGCTGATTTTATATAGAAGCAGTAAGCGGAAGCAACCTTGTGCATTATTGCTGCATTACGTTTTGCCTCAGTGGCCTAATTTGTGGTCTAAAAAAAACCGATTTAATTGCAGGAAGCCATAAGGCTTGGTGTCTGTTTAATCTCTGAGTGGGAAATTGCAGTAGGTTAAGTTTTCTTTTGACCAGTTTATATAGGTGATTATGCCAAGCTGAATGTATGTGTGTCACTTCATTGTTCAATTTCCAAGTGTGAGTTTATC